GCAGGCGGTAATACGACATGCATTCATTTAACTGACTTTGTATAGTTTTGTATTGGTAAAGTGTAGTTTGAAAGGGTTTATTATACTGTTATGCATCTACAAGTTATTTAGCTTTAACTACTATTTGCGGTAATACGACATGCACTCATTTAATTGAATTCTCACGCAGTGTTCTAAGCTTCTGCAAAACTAGAATTAAATTAGACGATTTACTTTTTTATTTTGCAGTATAATCGTAGATGCAATAAATTATGTCACCAGAATTTTTGTACTCATAACATGCTTATAGTATACAGTATCGTTTTTTCAACACAAGATTTTTATCATTAGTTTTTAATATGCGGCAGGGTGATAACGTTGGTTTGCTATATTAGAATTACAGGTACTTTTTTAGTTAAGGAAAAATTTAAAAGAATTCTTTTCATATTCGTTATTTGTATATTCGTAAGAATCCTGAAAACCACCAACTAATTGATCGCAAATTTCAAAAGGAGTTTGAATAAAGTTTGAATGTGTCATAAGATAACAAAACTAGCCTAACTAGATAACCTTAATAGAAAAGTGTTTACTACTAACATAAAAACTGTCTGCAAAGAAGCTCTACTAAGGCGTTTATCATTTAACCTCGAAGAAGCTAATAGTAATATTTGGAGTGTTATACTTGACATTGAGTGAGCTGCTGCCACAATAACTCTTATGAGGTTCATACGTATAAGTATATAGAATATTAGTGCCACGTCTGGGCACCAGGGGGCTCCCGTAGCCTTTTGAGGTCTAGGGTTCGACCAAGAATTTTTTTATGTAGTTTTATCTCCTGAATTAGAATTTCGAGGGTGGAACCTCAAAATACCACGCAAAAAAAAGTTATTAACAACTTTTATAAACAATTTTTAAAATTACGTTTTTTCGATTGAGAAATTTTTTTTCTTATTCTTGGACACATTTTAAACAAAAAACCAATGGGATGTATTTACTCAAACCCCATAGAATTCGAGTAAAAAATTCCCAAAGTTTATAAGAACGCGTTTTTTTCATATTTTAACAGCGTGTTAAACAATAACTCTTTATTTTTTGACTCTCTACAAGAGCTCAAAATATTCGTCAAACATCGTACTTTAACAATTCATACAAAATTTTCCAATTAAAACTTTCCATTTTTTCCCAGAAACCTTTTAATGTCAGGTGTTTTGACACGTATACAACATTTCTATACAGAGGATCGATTGTATATATCTATCTGTATTGATACATTGTATCTCTGAACCTTCTAGGATTCCACCAAGGTTTTTTTTTATGTAGTTTCATCTCCTGAATTAGAATTTTGAGAGTAGAACCTCGAAAAACCACGCAAAAAAAAGTTTTTAACAATTTTTTTAAACAATTTTAGAAATTATGTTTTTTCAGGAAAAAAAAATTCTTTTGCACATCATCTCTTTTATTTAAAACAAAAAGGTCTCTGGCAAAATTCGTTAAAACTTCAGATGACGTATAAAAAATTTACAATGTTTTAAAATTCTTTTTTTTTTTTTACTCGCTTGCTAGCCTCCTGGATGTGACTAAAAATATCCGAATTGCACAGTAAAAAGCTACTGGATGTCATAGGATTGTAATGTGAATGCAAGTNTTAAATTACCATAAATGAAATAATAATGCAAGCGCCTATCCCCACAGCACCAGGGGTGGTGACTGGTCACTTACTTAAATTACCATAAATGAAATAATAATGCAAGCGCCTATCCCCACAGCACCAGGGGTGGTTACTGGTCACTTACTTAAATTACTATAAATAAAATAATAATGCAAGCGCCTATCCCCACAGCACCAGGGGTGGTTACTGGTCACTTACTTAAATTACTATAAATGAAATAATAATGCAAGCGCATATCCCCTTAGCACCAGGGGCACTTACTGGTCGCTTACTTAAATTACTATAAATAAAATAATAATGCAAGCGCCTATCCCCACAGCACCAGGGGTGGTTACTGGTCACTTACTTAAATTACTATAAATGAAATAATAATGCAAGCGCATATCCCCTTAGCACCAGGGGCACTTACTGGTCGCTTACTTAAATTACTATAAATAAAATAATAATGCAAGCGCCTATCCCGACAGTACCAGGGGTGGTTACTGGTCACTTACTTAAATTACTATAAATGAAATAATAATGCAAGCGCCTATCCCCACAGCACCAGGGGTGGTTACTGGTCGCTTACTTTAATTACTATGAATGTAATAATAATGCAAGCGCCTATCCCCACACAACCAGGGGTGGCTACTGGTCACTATAATTATTTAAAATTAATTGAATAATGCAAGCCTCTCGGGTCATGTGGGGATTAGCGTTCACATTATTTTATTCGTTGTAAATAATCAAAGCAACTAGTAGGGGCCCCGGGTCCTGCGGGAATAGGCGCTTGCATTCTAATTTTATTTATAGTGAACTAAGTAAGCGACCAGTAAGCTCCCCCGGTTGTGTGGGGATAGGTGCTTGCGTTATTATTTTATTAATCATAANAATACACTCTAATGTAATAATATTAATTTATTTAAATAAAGTAAATGTATTAATATAATGAAGTATTAAAGGACGTATCACTGTGACCACAAGATGTATTTTTTAACACAATTTGTTCTTTGCTTGGCAAAAACAAGAACTATTTAACGAAACATGTATTTATTTTTTTCAAAAAGTAAATTTCTTACTTCATTTGACAGGTTCTTTTTGCAACAAAATGGTACTTTCTACTAAACCATATAAATATCTCTCAATTCAGCAAATCATATTACTAATTATAGAGTACAAAAATTTTATTTAAACCAATAGTAATTTATATCGAAAAAGTTTTGAACTGAGGTAAAAAAATATTTTTTATGAAAAAAACCACATGTAAGTCTAATAATACATTTAAAATTTTGTTGAAGTTGGTAGCGTCAAAAAATTAAACAATTTTAGAGAAATATTGCGTTATGAGAAAACGTCACTTTTAGATTCAAGTAACAGGTTTTTTTTGCAAAAACAACTCATGTAACTTGGTTAAAAAAAAAGATTTATAATTCAAACAAAATAAACTGTGGTTAAATAAAAGGAGTTAAACTCCTTTTATTTAACCACAGTTTATTTTCTTATTTATTTTTGATAAACCTGATAAATAAATATTGTGAAATTTTTACAAAAAACATTACATAGATCTGATAAAATTTTTTTTCGATTTAATAAGGAGTAATCCACTTGAGTTGTGATGAATATTTAGTAGACTCTTACAATCCGTTGACATTTTCGTAAAAAGCATCTTATTTTTCAAATGAAGCGAACTTTCTTTATACCAATACGAAGCTTCTTCAGATTAATTCAATAAAAATAGTTTAGCCCAAGAAATATCTTTTTAGGTTGATATGAAAGAATTCTTCATAGTCAATGTAAAATTTCTTTGAAAGCATTTCATCGTTAAAATAAACTCTTTTTTTGCATCAGAGTTTTTTTTTTTTTTTTAATTCATGCACATTCGTAGGAAGGGCTTAACAGTATGTTATAATATGTACCTTAAGAAGTATTTCTGTTATAGTAACAGATTGATGACATGATCGATGTACACATATGTTAATTAATTGAAAACAATTTATCATGAATTTTATATTCAACAAGTTAAAATTTTGTTGTAACCAAATGCCATTTTATACAAGTGAAAAATTATTTCTTCAGTTAAAAAAAAATTTGTTCTGGACAAGAAAAATGCGTTTTTCTAACATACCTGTAAAGTTATTTATTTGTTTCAAAAAAATACTGATTTCTTTTTATACATTGAATTTATCAAAATAAAAGCACATCGATTTGGCTGAAAGTTTCTTACAATCTATCATAAAATTTTTAAGTAGCAATAATTGACAAAACGTCTTAGCGCATCCAAAAACTTTTTTTAGCTATATTATGGTTGACAGTCAAATGTTTTCTTTTATTTTCATAATTTAGATATTCGTGAAAATAAAAATTTTTTTTCGTTTGACTAAATGATTCTTCAAATCAATTACTCAACCATCATACTAAAAGAAATTAGCCCTATTAAAGTACTAATTGATCGTCGAGATTCAAAATATAAGTCAGTTAAAAGAGCTTCAACAATACAAATGTAAGTTTTTTACATCCTAAGGTATTCTATATCTTACCTCAGCTTTCTGTACGTCAGCATTCCAGGCGGAAAAACTAGGTTTGAATTTGACCACAGTCGGGTTTTTTCTCCAATATGTGATTTTATATCTTGGTTAAAAGTCTTTTATTTAAGAAACTATGTGCTATATTATACAACTATAATTTATAGTATCCTAATGAATTATGTACATAATTCAAATATATAAATGCACATAAGTATAATCACTAAAGATTTTAGATGATCATATAATTTAAAATTCTTTTTTTTTTTTTTACTCGATGACACTGCGATGTGACTAAAAATATCCGAATTGCACAATAAAACCTTATTTTGAGCTCTTGTAGAGAGTCAAAAAAACAATTAGTTATTGTTTAACACGCTGTTGCAATATGAAAAAAACACGTTTTTCTAAACTTTGGAAATTTTTTACTCAAATTCTGTGGGGTTNTATATATATATAGAGCTCGCGCTGGCTCAGTCTGCTAGGTCGTGGATTGACACGTGGGAGACCGTGGTTCGATTCCCGGCCAGTGCGACTTATCGGGCAAGTACCTCTTTGGGGAATTGTGGTACTAAGAGCTTACTCCGGGCTCAAGGATGACAGAGGTGCGAAGCAGGTGAACACAATGACGAGACAGTAAGTAAAAGACTTTAGATTTATTGAATACAGCAATGTTACCTTTACAAAGACAAAGAACTTTCGAGAAACGGTCGTGGCTTGGATCGCAGCAGACTCGCGCGTGCCGTGGTCTATGCTGGTTGGGGCGAGATCCGCGAGTGAGAGACGCGGGCTGCACTCGCCACCTGAAGGTGGGCGCTCCATAGAGCTTTTCTTCCTGAAGATGGCGCGCTCTACCATTGTGCTCGCGGGATGAGCTGTTGTTTCCTGCGCGTTTTTTGTTTTGCGCTTTGGCTAGCGGAAACCGCCACCGGGGCTCCCCGCTTAGTGCAGTCGGCCGTAGGCAGGCTGAACGATACCCGTTTGTTGGCCTTGGCCGCCTTGGGTGGCTCAGGTGTTGGCTGCGGCATAGACGTGGGGGCTGGTGGTGGCGTTGGCGGGCCTGGATTTGGTCTGGAGGCAGGCGAGGGTGATGCGGTCTCAGCTTGGCCGGAGACTGGCATGTCCGCGCGCTCCAGGTATGCTGGCTTCAGGGTGTCCGTAGAGCAGGTGCGGGGGCGTCCATTGACTTCAATGGTGAAATTCCGGTTGTCGATTCGTCGGATCACCTTGTGTGGTCCTGTGTAAGGTGGGTCCAACGGCTTACTAATTGCGTCGACGCGCTTGAAGACGTGCGTGCACGTCTGCAAGTCGCGGAAAATGAAAGGCTTGTGCGGGGAGTCGTGCCTGGAAGCTTGGACTGGTTTGATGGATTGCTGCAGCTGACGAAGGCCTTGAATGAAAGACGGCGGGTCGGCATTCGGGTGGCTGGTGGTTGTGAAAAACTCTCCAGGCACTCGGAGCGTTGTCCCGTAGAGCATCTCGGCTGGGGAGGCTTGAAGGTCCTCTTTAAAAGACGTGCGCAGTCCTAGCAAAACCAGTGGCAGGGCGTCAGGCCAGGGAATGTCCTCGTTGCACATTAAACCGGCCTTGAGTGTTCGGTGCACTCGCTCCACCATTCCGTTCGACTGCGGGTGGTACGGTGTGGTTCAGATGCGGTTAGTACCGAGCATCTTATTGAGCTCTGTGAAGAGCGCCGATTCGAACTGTGCGCCCTGATCGGAGGTAAGCGTCAGCGGCGTTCCGAAATTCGTGATCCAATTGTCGACTAGGGCCTTTGCGACAGTAGAGGCTTGTTGATCCAGAATCGGAACTGCGACAGGCCATCTGCTGAAGCGATCGATGATCGTTAAACAATTTTGTTGTCCCGCTGTCAGTGGCAGCTTGAGGAGATCGACGTGGATGTGGTCAAAACGTCCTTCGGGGGTGTCGAAATCACCGAGGGCCGACCAATTGTGTCGATGGACCTTGGACTTTTGTCACGGCTCACACTGTTGCGCCCAGCGCGTTGCGTCTTTCTGCATCTTGGACCACATGAATTTTCGCGCCACCAGGCGTGCAGTGGCTCTGATGCAGGGGTGCGCAAGTTTGTGGAGTACCTCGAAAGCCGTCCTGCGAAGCGTCTCAGGCAGGTCGGGGCGTACTACTCCCGTGGAGGTGTCGCAGTAGATGAGGTGACCATCGATGGTGAGAGGCTGAAGATCGAGGTGCGGGTCCAAGAGGAGGTGCTCGAGCTCTTGGTCTTCGGCTTGGGCCTTGGAGACGGTCTCTGGGTCGATGACTAAAGGCATAGCTATCGTGTTTACGCGTGAGAGTGCGTCAGCCACCACGTTGTCTTCACCTTTTACATGGCAGAGGGTAACCTGGTGTTGAAGGATATAGTCGAAATGTCGGACCTGCCTTGGCGAAGCCTTGTTTGAGGGCTGTCGGGCGGCGAAGACAAGCGGCTTATGGTTTGTGAAGACCGTGAAAGGGCGTCCTTCTAAGATCCACTCGAAAGCTTTGATGGCTGCGTATATCCCCAGGAGCTCCTTGTCGTATGCGGCTTAATTTTGTTCGGCCTTGGTGAGTTTCCTTGAAAAAAAACAAAGTGGCCTCCAGACACCCTTTGGATGCTCCTGCTCTAAGGCTGTGCCGATCGCCGTGTCCGAGGCATCAGTCCTTACGGCGATGACAGTGTCCGGTCTGAGGAAAGTCGTCGTGGCTGCCTTGGCCAAGGCTTGTTTGCTAAGCTGGAAAGCTGCGTCAGCTTCAGGAGTCCAAGACAGCGGGGCCTTTTTTTTCTTAGGCGGAAGGTCCTTTAGTAGATCGTTGAGAGGTGCCAGTATGTTGGCCGCCCCAGGGATGCAACGCCTATAGAAATTGAACATTCCCAGGAAACGATGGAGCTCGGATGAGTCGTTAGGCTTCGGAAAATCCTCTACGGCCTTGACTTTATGTTCTGGGGGGCAGACGCCGTCTGCTGAGACGACGAATCCCAGATAATCCACTTCGTCTTGACCAAGGACGCTCTTCGATGGGTTGATTCGTAGCCTCCTCTGACGTAGGACGTTGAAGAGTTGGCGCAGGTGCTCCAGGTGTTTCTCATGACTTTCGGAGAAAACCAAAATATCATCCAAGTAACACCGAGTGAACAAAAGTTCACGCAGGACGTGATCCATGGTGCACTGCAGAGACTGTGCGAGTTGCGCAAACCCATAGATGTCCATGTGAACTCGTACAGGCCAAATGGCGTGGTGATCGCAGTCTTCGGGACGTCTTCCTCGGTGATCTCCACTTGATGGAATGCTTTCCTCAGGTCAATGACGGAAAAAACCTTTCCTGTACCTCCTGCAGGAGGTCCTCGATGACTGGAAGTGGGTACCGATCCGGTTTGGTACAGGCATTCAGGCGCCTGTAGTCGCTGGTTACTCTCCAGCCTCCTTGGGCCTTCTCGACTAGGTGTAGCGGGCTTGCCCAGGGGCTAGATAATGATCGCATGACGCCCTGTTCCATCAGACGGCGAACTTCTTCCTTGGCAGCAAGTAAGCGCGGCCCAACCAGACGACGGGGGCACTCGAAAACAGGAGGGCACGTCGTGTGGATGGTGTGGAAGGCTGGAAGATCGGGAAGAGCGGCTGTGGTGGACTCCGGTGAGCAGATTTCTGCGAATTCTGCTATCAAGGTTTGGTAACGCTGACCCATGGTGCCAACCGGCTTGCGTGCCGAAGTAGTTACTACTGACACTGAGTATATCGCTGCAGGCGTCAGAAGTCCGTGCGTGGAAAAATTCGTGACCAGTGTTGGGTAAGGAGGATATGATTTTGCATTTTTATCACTTGGACCTACATATAGCTACATATCCTAGTGAGAAAAATGCAAAAGCTGAATAGGACGGGGGAGGAGGCCAGTGGTTCTCCCCAAATGTGACTGGCGAACTTGTGGGAAATTCAAATTGGCAGTGTGGTGCAAGCAAGACGTAACTACCCAGATAACTCGACACAAATACGTGCACAATAACTCAATAAACTAATCCCAAGCTATTTAACCCAATAACCCAAGAGGCCAATAAGCAGCCTCATGAGTTTGATTAAATAACACATTTATTAATTAACAAAGCAAGCGCCAATCCCCACACGACCCAAGGTACTTACTAATTGCTTTACTTATTTATGATGAATAAAATAATACCGCAAGCGCCTATACCCGCACAACCGGGGTAGCTTACTGATCGCTAAGTTAAATTACTATGAATGAAATAAAAATGCAAGCGCCTATCCCCACGGCACCAGAGGTGGTTACGGGTCACTTACTTAAATTACTATGAATGAAATAATAATGCAAGCGTATATCCCCACACAACCAGGGGTGGTTATTAGTCACTATAATTATTTATGATTAATAAAATAATACCTTAAGCACCTATCCCCACACAACCAGGGGCACTTACTGGTCACTTACTTAAATTACTATAAATAAAATAATTATGCAAGCGCCTATACCCACAGCACCAGGGGCACTTACTGGTCACTTACTTAAATTACTATAAATAAAATAATAATGCAAGCGCCTATCCCCACAGCACCATGGGTGGTTACTGGTCACTTACTTAAATTACTATAAATGAAATAATAATGCAAGCGCTTATCCCCACAGCACCAGGTGTGGTGACTGGTCACTTACTTAAATTACTATGATTGAAATAATAATGCAAGCGTCTATCCCCACACAACCAGGGGTGGTTATTGGTCACTATAATTATTTCTGATTAATAAAATAATACCGCAAGCACCTATCCCCACACAACCAGGGGCACTTACTGGTCACTTACTTAAATTACTATAAATCAAATAATAACCCAAGCACCTATCCCCACACAACCAGGTGCACTTACAGGTCGCTTGATTCAATTACTATTAATGAAATGATATCGCAAGCACCTATCCCCACACGACCCGCGGCACATACTGGTTGCTTTAAGTATTTATGATTAATAAAATAGTACCGCAAGCGCATATCCCCACACAACCGGGGGAGCATACTGGTCGCTTACTTAAATTACTATAAATATAATAATATCGCAAGCACCTATCCCCACACATTCAGGGGCACTTACTGATTGCTTACTAGAATTACTATAAATAGAATAATATCGCAAGCACCTATTCCCTCACAACCAGGGGCACTCACTGGTCACTCACTTAAATTACTATAAATGAAATAATAACGCAAGCACCTATCTCCACACAATCAGAGGCATTTACTGGTCGCTTATTACAATTACTATAAATAAAATAAAATCGCAAGCACCTAACCCCACACGACCCAAGGCACTGACTGATTGCTTTAAGTATTGATGATTAATGAAATAACACCGCAAGCTTATATCTCCGCAACACCGGGGAAGCATACTGGTCGCTCACTTAAATTACTATAAATGAAATAATAACCCAAGCACCTATCCCCACACAACCAGGTGCACTTACAGGTCGCTTAATT